TATATATAATTAATTAAAGGGAGTTTATTTTTTCATTTAAAAAAAAAATTACAGTAAAAATCTCACTGTTTAGCAATGATATTGTTTATAAGTGACTCTTTTAATAAGCATTATCATAATCTAATGCTTTTCTATCATCTGATTTTGTGTGCTTGCAGATCGGACATTATAGAGTTATCCATGACTCTGAACTTGGTCAATTTAGTGAAATACCAGAATCAGATAATGGTGGTTATACTTGTTTTCTTTCTCTTGGAGATGAATTTCCACATTTTAAAAAGGTACGGTCTCATGAACTGTCTGGAAAAACACAGTGTGGTTTTACAGTCATGGAATATGACTTTTCAATTCATTTGAAGTCAGTCAAGAATAAAATAATGAGCTGCAGTTATTCTCCAAAAAATGCAACATCCAAACAATCATAAAGTGACAAGTACAACCTAACAGGTCTGTAATGTTAGTAATCTTCACATTCTCACATTAAAGGGGTCATATGATGCAATTTCAATTTTTCCTTTCTCTTTGGAGTGTTACAAGCTCTTGGTGCATAAAGAAGATCTGTAAAGTTGCAAAGACTAAAGTCTGAAATCCAAAGAGATATTTTTTATAAAAGTTAAGAGTTAACCACGCCTACCTAAAACGGCTTGTTCTAACATTACTTTTTATATTTAAATTATTTGCCACTGATGATTCAAACGCGAGTTTTGAGCAGTGTAGAGTAGCACTTGTTGTTTGTTGTTTCTCCGATCACAAATGCAGACATGGTTTTATGTTTACGCAGCGCGATAAGTCATTATAATCATAAATTGTGTCCCCACTGGATGCAACAAATGCCTCATTTGTAATAGGTTTTATTGGTTTTGTCTCATCCTGCTGGGAGACGGCATCACAGTACGGTAAGGGGCATAACATTTCTGTCACACGCTTGAGGCATTCGGCCAATCACAACGCACTGGACAGCTGGCCAATCAGAGCAAACCTCGATTTTTACAAAGCTCATCAGTCTGAAAAGCCAGGTGTGCTCTGATTGGCCAGCTATCCAGTGCGTTGTGATTGGCCGAATACCTCAAGCGTGTGACAGAAATGTTACGCCCCTTAACATATTGTGATGCCATGTCCCGGCTGGAGCGACGAGACAAAAACATTAAAACCCATCATAAACAACATTGTAGTCTACTCTACCAGGATCAGGAGACTCCAGCCCCTGAGTTGGCTCCAGTGCCAGCTCCTCGAAAGCGCCTTGCTGTGCCTGCTCCTCCAGAGCACCCTCCAGTGCCAGCTCCTCGTAAGCGCTTCACAGTTCCCAAGTATAGCCCACGGAGGGCTCCAGTTCCTAGTAGAGTATAGTACTAAGAGCAGTACTAAGTAGAATTTTATTTCCAAACTAAATTAACACTGTTACATTGTTGAATCCTATTTACGTCTTAATCATGACCTCTACTGGTGAAGCTTTGACAACAGACAAAAACTTGAGTGAAAGTTGCATTTAAAATAAAACATACTCGACGAGCACACAGAGGCATTTTGCTCATTTCACTAAACCGCTTCAGTGTAAAAATCACATCACACTCTGACACACTGTTGAATCTATCAGCTGTTTTCACAGCAGCCTCTACTCTGCCTGATTCCACCAGAGAGACAGAAACATGTAAGAATATTTTTACTTCGCTTATGAGAGAATATTCAATTTGTGTTAAATGTTAAATAAAAATAACCCTTTTCTTAACAGTGATATAATCTAGATAGAAACACTGATGTCTGTAATACAGTAGTTCAGTTTTTACTCTAATCTGATTTAATCTGAGATCTCTTCTGTTGCAGCTGTTCCTCACACTGTTCACACTCACTCTGAAGGTTGTTCATTCACTCACAACACAAAACTGCTATTCTGAATATTTGTAAAATCTAACACAAACCTCGAAATTTCATTCTCTCATGATCATATCATGTTGAATATTCATTTAAAATGAATTTAATAATAAAACTGCGCATAATAAATCTGAATTAGTGCAATGAAATGTATTCTCTTATTGCAATATAAACATGAATTAATATAGGGAGAGATGTGTTAGTATTTAATGTTCTGTTATGTTGGAATTTACTTGGGTTTCTGTTTTGTTAAAGTTTTGTACCATTGTGGTGAAGAGTAGAGCCTGTGGTTAGGTATAGTGATAGTCTCTTTGATAGCTACCATAGCACATGCTGGAGTGTAGTTCCTAACTAGCGTTTAACCTTAAATGTTTTATTATGAATTTTACAGTATGAAATAAAAGTTCTGTTAATTTAGTTTTTGAGTTAGTTGATTGAAAATAAATTATTTTACTTCAATGTTTTGTTTATTCTGAACATATCAGGTTTTACAGTGTAAAGTAAAGGTTCACTTACATGTTACAGTGCACACAGCTGTGAGAGTGGTGTCATGATTACATTCATCTTCATAAAAAAGGACTGTGGTCAGATGTGCTACTTCCTAATTCACCCATTGTGTGAGTCTCGTCTCTTCTCTCACACTCGCTGTAATGGAGTTGTTCATCTTCATAGTGTTTCAGCTCCTGATGGAGGTTCAGTCTTACAGTAAGTGATCTCTGTTGTTTAATGTTGATTAAATACTGTATGTTCACATTTGTAGTGAACAAAGTGTCATTGTCTAAAATATTTCAACATGTTGATCAGTAGGCTACATGTGAAACTAACTAACATTCATTTTGTTGTAGAATATTTTGTATACAGTGACATGCGAAAGTTTGGAAACCCCTTGCAGAATCTGTGAAAATGTGAATAATTTTAACAAAATAAGAGAGATCATACATAATGCATGTTATTTTTTATTTAGTACTGTCCTGAGTGAGATATTTTACATAAAAGATGTTTACATTTAGTCCACAAGACAAAAAAATAGCTGAAATGATCAAAATAACCCCTTCAAAAATTTGGATGGATGATCCACGACTGTTTTTTGTTTTGTGATGGTTGTTCATGAGTCCCTTGTTTGTTCTGAACAGTTAAACTGAGCACTGTTCTTCAGAAAAATCCTCTGTGTCCTGCAGATTCTTCAGTTTTCCAGCATCTTTTGCATATTTGAACCCTTTCCAGCAGTGACTGTATGATTTTGAGATCCATCTTTTCACACTGAGGACAATTTAGGGACTCAAACACAACTATTAAAATAGGTGCAAACATTCACTGATGCTCCAGAAGGAAACACGATGCATTAAGAGCATTTTTGCATTACGAAAACGATGCATTAAGAAAACTTTTTGAATTTGAAGATCAAGGTAAATTGCAAGTAAACATGCAAGTATCTTCTGTTGCTTCCGAAGGGCAGTACTAAATGGGAAAAAAATTATATTTCAGCAAAATAAGAAAAATTGGGACATCTTCATCCTGTTCAAAAGGCTCGTAATGCATCGTGTTTCCTTCTGGAGCATCAGTGAATGTTTGAACCTTTTTTAATAGTTGTGTTTGAGTCCCTCAATTGTCCTCAGTGTAAAAAGATGGATCTCAGAATCATACAGTCACTGCTGGAAGGGGTTCAAATATGCAAATGATGCTGGAAAACTGAAGAATCTGCAGGAGCTGTAGGATTTTTCTGAAGAACAGTGCTCAGTTTAACTGTTCAGAACAAACAAGGGACTCATGAACAACCATCACAAAACAAAAAACAGTTGTGGATCATCCAGGTAACCACACACAGTATTAAGAACCAAGGGTTCCCAAACTTTTGAATGGGGTTATTTTTATAATTTCAGCTATTTTTTTCTTGTGGACTAAATGTAAACATCTGTTATGTAAAATATCTTACTCAGGACAGAACTAAATAAAAAATAACAGGCATTTTGCATGATCTTTCTTATTTTGTTAAAATTATTCACATTTTCACAGATTCTGCAAGGTGTTCCCAAACTTTCACATGCCACTGTATATAATTGTATATAATCAGCAGTTGTCTTATTTGGGTTTTTAGAACCCCAAAATATGTGCCTGTAAACATTTCACTGCTGTTCTTGTGATTTGGAAACTGTTATGGTAGTGTTTTTAATAACTGGATCATTTGTCTTTAAACAGATGCACTTCAGAAACCCTTCATCAGTGTTAGTGATGATGATGTCCAGCTCAGCATATCATGTGAAATACCACTTTCAGTCAGAGCTGATTTCATCTGTAGCCTCTACACTGAGGACGATGTTCTTCTGTATCATCGTGTCTCTCAGTGGAGTCAGTCTGGAAAGAATCTTTGTATGTTTCATGTAAGTCGTAGTGAACTCTTCACACGATCAGTGAACAGCAGACAGCTGATCTGTGTTTATTCACTCAAGACTGAACCTGAGAACAGATCATCTCATAGTGATACATACACCTTCAGAGACACTATCACCATCAGGGGTGAGTTATTATCACACTGTTATAGTTATTTATTTTATAGAGACACCTATAAAATTCCTATTAGCCAGAATGATTTATTATGAAGGCCAGAAGGATATTATGAAATCATGAAGGAGGATTGACCAATAAAAAAAGTGAATTCAGTATCTTCAACAAACAAACTAAAATGAGAAAATGGAATGATAATATGTGTAATAAGTCTGGATGGATATTTTTTATAAAGGCGCTTTCAATAGGCTGTACAACACTGAAAGAAGAAATATACCAAATGTTGGAAAGTTGAATATTGTTGATCATAATCCCTGGGGCACCACAGACTCATTCAGAAACAACATATTGACGCTGATTCTAGCAGTTGTGTGATGCTGCTGTCAGACACTGAATCAGTAGACAGTAATCTGTGAAGTCTTGATTCTAACACAGAAAAACTTTATTTTTAAGTTCTTTTCAGACGAACACTAAAACCACAGTGTGACTTTGAAAAGTTAATAATCTAATACATGTAAGAAAGGAAGAGCTGCTTGAGCTAATCATGTGATCATAGTTTAGAGGTCAGAGAGCCAGACTATGTCTGATACATATGGAAACATGAAATCACCAAATCAATTGCTGATATGGATGTTTGAGCTGTTGTTTTATCTCCAAAATTATATTACATAAGGACTAAAAAGGACTGAAATATGGTATTTTTGTATTCGAAAGACTTGTACCTTCAACAAACAAACTTAGTTTTAAAGTTTGTAAATAATGTAAAATGACTTCCTGTAATTCTGATAAATTGTGTCTGCAGTTTCAACACCAACCACCACTGAACATGCGACTACAACAGCCACGACAACCTGTGAGTAATTGAGTTTGTAAATCAGCTATACTGACTCCATTCTGAATGTCCTCAAAATGATAATCATTCTCTCAAACTCATGATTATTTGTTCAACATTTAATATACAGTATGTTGCGGCAAATTTCACAATGTCTTTTCTTCACATGAATTATACTGGCCACTTCTGAAACAACATACAGTAAAATTGGTTACTAATAACATAGCAACATAAAACATTAGTAACAAAGTTACTAATACAGTAACAGCATTTCTGGTTATTCTAACTTAAATTTGAGAAACAATGTTTTTCTGAAAAGTGAATCCCCTTGCTATATGTTATTTTTATATTATTAGATGTCCAATCCAAGACAAACCTGCCAACCAGCAAAGCAAAGGAAACCCTGAGTAAGTTCATCCACTCTTCCTCAATGAGAAAAGTCACTGTGTAGAATTAAAATGTTGGATTCAAATCATATAGCTGGGATCCTGATTCAAAGTTTATTGGTAAAATGTAACTTTTTAAAAACACGTCTTGAGGCTATGCATTTTTTCCCATTCCACTTGTTGCTTCTCGAGTTTTTCAAAGCAAAAGCGTGTTCTGTGGGAATGTGTTTACTGTACATAACTGCAAATTTCACAATGTATTTTCAGCAGCGTTAACTGTAAGGTTCACTTCTGAAACAACAACATACAGTAAAACTGGTAAGTTACTAATAAAAAATGTTCTGGTTATTCTAGATCATTTTAAATTTGAGAAATTATTCCTGTCTGATAAGTGATTTGCAATGTGTTATTTTTCTATTAGTAGACTTTCAATCTAAATCAAACCTGCCAACCAGCACAGCAACGGAAACCATGGGTAAGATCAAACACTCTTCCTCAATGGACATTGTGTAGAATAAATATATTGGATTCAAAAGACAAATTCAAAAATACAGCTGGGGTCCATTTCCTAAGTTTATTCGTACATGGTAAGCAGTAGCACTCAGAGAATTAAATAATAAGGTGTTTTTTTCAACATGGTTGCTACTTAAATTACGTTTTTTTTAACAGTTTTGTTTTAATACTTTAACTACATGCTGTGATTTTCTGCACTTTCCATGGCAACCTCTACTCCGCCTGGTAACAGTAGAATATCAGAATATAGTAAGTACTGTAGATGCCAAGTTAGCAAGCAAATGTCAAAATTGTTTTGCTTCAAAATGTATAAACAAAATGTTAAGTCACACTGAATGAACTGTTTCACCCAATATGTTTGTTTGCTTGTTTGTTCATTTATTTGATTGGGAATGCCACTCTGATGTATATGTGACTGCATTTTTAGCTCTGGCTTACAGACAGACACATACATATGAATACTTCTTTAATATCACACAATATACAACTGCTTATGATAATTGCTTATTACGGTTATTTCTGCAGTGTTTAGTTCAGTACAATGTAAAGAAATATACATATGCCAGTCTTTGGTAAATACAACTTTAGATGTTCCCACTGCAATTTCAACAGCAATATCCACTCAAAAAACTACACAAATGGACATCGTCTCACACACACACACACACACACACACACACACACACACACACACACACACACGCTCACAACAAAAATAAAACCAATCTACATGTACATACATTTTTTCAATTCATTTATGTATCGCTTTAGTTGTCTGGTGGACTGATGTATCTATAACAACCAAATGAAACATAATACACATAAACATGGATTAAAGTGTTGATATTGTTTTGACACAGTATGGTTTATAGTGCTGGTTTCCACTGGTGTTGCTGTCATTTTGTCTGGACTCATCTGTTTCTGCCGGTTTGCAAGTAAGTATTTCAATGCACTTTATTTTGCATTTTATTATTTATTTATATGTACAGGAATAAAAACTGAACATTTAATGCATCAGCTCATTGTTTTTTAGGTAAAAAAAGAAGAAAACTGTAAGTATTTTCATGCATTCAATTCAGTAGTCTGTGACATGTACTATTTTTTCTTTTTTTTTGCTTGTTTAAAAAAATTTTTTATTTATTGTTTCTTTTTCGTAAAAAATATTTTTGTAGTCCAGGAGCTGTAAATGTTTAGCTTATTATCTGATATATGCATGTATGAAGAGATGCCATAAAGATAAATGTTTGATTCTTAAAAATAAA